GTGGTAGGACCTCTTGTGAGTCAGTGAAACAGTAATGCGTTTCGGTTTGAAGGGTGGAGCAGCTGTTGTAACTATACTGAGACCTTATAACTTATATCTCAAGGTGGATTGCGCATTTACGTTGTAGATGTCCATGGGCTCCAGTAATCGCTTAACACCGAGTGGGCTGTGAGCTAGTCCACCCAACTAAGCAATAAAAAAAACTTGATGCAAGTACTATTTCATAAGGACAATTATTTGATTCAACTTAAGCTAAAAAGAAACAGCTCTTCGATTCGATAAGCACTAAATAAATGTTTTGCAATTAAAGAAAGACAGGTCGTACTCACCCCTTTATAGTCATTGCGTCACTGATATTTCCTGGAACCTATCATTAATAACCGTGGGGGCTAATGTCTGAAAAAACCCTGGCGAGGCGTAAAACGTTCCGATTCAGCAGCAGTTAAAATCGTATCAATCAGACGTGACTGCGGCGCCACCCCTTCATACATTATCGATAACTTGGANAAAAATCTTGATGCAAGTACTATTTCATAAGGACAATCATTAGATTCAACTTAAGCTAAATAGATCTTTGATCCGACAAGCGCGCTTAATAAATGTTTTGCAATTGAAGAAAGACAGGTCGTACTCACCCCTTTATAGTCATTGCGTCACTGATATTTCCTGGAACCTATCATTAATAACCGTGGGGGCTAATGTCTGAAAAAACCCTGGCGAGGCGTAAAACGTTCCGATTCAGCAGCAGTTAAAATCGTATCAATCAGACGTGACTGCGGCGCCACCCCTTCATACATTATCGATAACTTGGACCTTTTCCATATTATAGATGTAAAGGAACTGGAATTGGAATTTCCTGCACTATTTGGCCACTAAATCGCGATCCACCTGGAGCTTAAAGTTTACTAAAGTCGGTAAAGTTCGATAGTTCGTATTCAAATTCAATTCAAATTGTAAATCATTTATTTCAACTTAGATGTCAGTATGACACACTTGTTGAATGTCAAAATATAAATAACAATCTTAACTCTACCACCGGTTCCAAAAAAAGCCACAGTCCTGAGAAGAACCGTTTTTTTTTTGGTTTTATTCTCAAATATTTTCATTTTTTTAAATAAATAAAAATATTTACAATAAAGGAAAACACAAGTCAAAAAATACAATTAAAAAAGAACACGGTATCAAGCAGCGTCTATTTGCTACGGTACAGTCTCGGATGGTGGATGTCTTCGGACACGCTTGGCACCGAGATGGCCGGTCCATAGAACGCCTCGTTGTACGGGGAAGGGTTGATGGTACACGACCGCGCGGGAGGTTACAAATGCGGTGAACCGAACAAATTAAAACTGCAGTGGAAGGTCTCCTAAATGAGTGCAGTAGAATGGCCTCGAGCAGAGAAAAAGGGCGGGACATCGTAAGACGCATCAAGTTTGCTCCCTCCAACACTACATGACGATCGCGACCACTTTGTTAAGTGAAACACGTTTTGTTGCTTAGTTGGATGGACGAGCTCACAGCCCACCTGGTGTTAAGTGGTTACTGAAGCCCATAGATATCTGCAACGTAAATGCGCCTCCCACCTTGAGATATAAGTTCTAAGATCTCAGTATAGTTACAACGGCTGCCCTACCCTTCAGACCGAAACGCATTACTGCTTCGCGGCAAAAATAGGCAGGCCGGTGGTACCTACCCGCACGGACTCACTAGAGGTCCTACTACCAGTAAAAAGAGAAGAGAAGAAGAAAGTCGTTTTAAAAACCAATGTGATAACCACTCACCTGGAACCATGAGGCTGAAAGCTTAGCTGTATTGTATCTATCTTACTGGTGGTAATACAATCTATGCTGCAAGCTTGTATGGATTAATGTTAACGTTCTGCCTATTCCTGTGAAATATTAATGCTCATAATCTGGCGCAGATAGTATTATAGGTATTTTTCCAACAATGTCGTTAATCTCTATCACACTATCTATTTGACTTTTGAGGGTTTTTTTATTATTATTTAACTCATTAATAGCAGTTATATGTTATTTTGGGTGGTTTTACTTAAGCGTGTGTTTTCAATTAACATGTCAATATAACCAAATCTTTTCTTTAAAGAATTTGGGATTTTAAATTTTGGCGAGTGCCACTTTTTGCGGAAGTCAATTCCAGGTTGGCAACTGGGGAAGGAATAACCGGGAAAGGAACTTTTTTTGATTTCCTCTTGATTTAGTAACGAATATTTTTTATCTTTTTGTTTATTGCTAGTATAGTCTTTTTAATACATGTACTGCCATGTACATATAATAATAATATATTCTTTAAGTCAATTAAAATCTTAGTCTTCCATGACTTTAAGTTTGCCCGGTTTTTTTTATTTGTATGTCTATTTTTTCAGATATTGTAATTATTAATTCGCAATTATGGTTTTTTTTTTCAAAAAGGCAGCGTTTTCTTTTTTATGTTATGTGCTTATCAAATCCCAGTCACATCCAGTATGCCTATACAAATCATACTATCGCTTACAAAACAAGACTCGTATCTTTCTAAATTACTTTTTTATATTTCTTGTACAGTATCTAGGGGTATACCTAATATTCCCCAAGAGATTTTTCGTAACACTTTCGGTTTTAATGATCAAAATTTGTAGACGTTTTTCGATGAATTTTATTTAAAGAATGAATTATTAGTTATTCAAGGAAATTTTAAACTATGGTAGTTTCAAGTTTATATCTCAATCGATCTCAAAATATCTGTGAAGCACTGGATCACACGCATTAAATAATACATTAAATAAAACAATATAGTTAGTATTCGCGTTTCTTTAAAATATTGAATAAAGAAGATGTCACACTTTACAAGGTAAACAAATATTTTTTAATGTGTCACGCAAATCCACGATTACGTATAGTGCCTCAAACTTATCTATATTTAGACTGTTTATAGTTAGATATTTTTACATTAGAAAATAAGTATTAGAAATTACAAGCATAAAAATGAAAATGGCCCATTTTAATTAAGCCTATTTTTTGCGTTTGGTGTTTTATATATTGTTATAAGTATATATTGTTATAAGTTATAAGTATAATAATATATAACAATATCCTTCTGATGGCATTACAAATTTGCAGTACCTGTGTGCTAAGAGATACCGTGGATATTTGGTCTTACGCAAATTGCTTTTATCAATTTCCTTGTAAGTATATTGACTAGCAGTAGTGAATGCTTACATAAGATAACAATAGAGAAAAATACTCTACTAGAGACGCTGTCACCGGGCCAAATAAGTTCGTAGCACTGTACACAAGAATAGAAGCCTATTAACTTATGAAAGAAGTAGATAAATCCGTTTAGATATGGAGAAAGTAATCGTCTTATGAAAACTAAACGTAGACCAATTCGTCTTTAGGTTCGCCGAGTGTTACGGATTTGCAATCGATGAACCCAAGGAGATGTATGGAAATGGTAGTGCAAGGTAGAGGGGGAAGAGGTCGACCGAAGAAGACATGGATGGAGTGTGTGAATTACGATATGAGGGAGAGAGGGGTGAGTGTTGAGATGACGGCTGATAGAAGAGAATGGAAGAGAAAAATTAGCTGTGCCGACCCCACCTAGTGGGATAAGGTGGAGAAAAAGAAGAAGAGAACCCAAGGATTTAACAAAGACAAAAACAATAAAATAGGAATTCACGTGTGCCGAGTTTATTTGAAACACATCTAAAATATAATAGCTTCATTAAGGAGAGAACAGTACGTTTTTATTGCAACCATAAAAACGAAAGTTCGTATAAAGGTATCGCAAATAAGGCAAACTTTGCACACGAGCCCGACGAAACAATGCCTTATGCGAGTACAGCGAATAAAAACTCAGTACTTTTCGTAACACTTTTACTGATTCTAAATTAAGTTGGTTTACGCGTTAAGGTTTCAGTTCGCAAAGTTTTATGTTTTTATTGCGTGGGTATTTTTGTCACGTGGCTTCTTTACTGGTTTTATTAACCCAAGCAAAAAGGATCAATAACATGTTCTATTATCTTTCTAGGCGGTCTGGAGGCCAATAATCATAATTATTGTACCGCACGATCTAGATGTGATGTAGCAATATATGTAATAACGTTAAGAGACTACCGTAAGTAGTTGGGGGCTTCGGATGAAACGACAAAAGTCGCTTTACTGACGATAGTTGAACGTGACAACGTCATAAGAAAATACTGATGGAATGGTTTAATTTTTCAATTATCGCAATTATCGTTGCTATAAACAATTGACACCACATTCACTTCTCACTGAACTTCTTAATTGACGAAAACCTGTAAATTTATTATTGTATAGCAGCTGTCCACGCGGATGCATCGCTCACTCAAGTAGGCGAGAGACAGATGCCGAACGCTGCCGAACGCGGAGGCCGATTGTGCCTCTTTGTCGCTCGTTGCGCGCTCTCGCTTGCACTTCAAGCCTTAAATGGAACGCCTCAGAGTGAGGTAACGCCGCATGAGTCATGTTTTTTCGTGCGTGCAGCCAGCTCCATCGAATTATAAGACGTTGTCACGTCAAAATCTTTCACCGAGCGGGTGTAATTGCTCAATAGATAGACTATCCGAATGTTATGGTTCGAAGCTTGTCTGTCAAACGTTGATAACTTTTTATAGAACTATTCCTTTAATGATTTTACAAAGTTATGTAAAAAAACACAAAAATTTGTAAATTTGCAAAATTAATGTCGATCTAGCCCATTATAACATGTCATTTTGTGCCGCAAGGTAGTCAGGCATTCCAGTTTGGAAGATGAGGCAACTGCCAAGTAATACATTACCGATTTCAAATTTATCCATTTCTAAGTTTCATATTAAACGTAAATACATCTTTCATCTTCTATATTTATGACGAACACAAAGAAGTAAATATGCAGAAAACCTAATCTTTTTGGTTCAACCAAAAAAAACCTGAAAAAAAAATCGACTAACAGAGTTACATGTTGACAATTTGCTGTCAAACCTATCTGTCATTCAAGATAATAAAATGCTACATATCAAGAATCCGGTCGAGAAGCATTTTGAGAAAATAACACGTTACCATTTATACTTCTACAGTCTGGTGTTCATCAGTCAATTGCCTAACTGTTGGCACTTGTTAAGCATTATATTCTTATCACCTACAGTTGATTTCTATTGTAACAGCACTGATGGCTCAAGCATTTTGAAAAATAAATGCCCATGCAATGATCCTCAGTGGGACAAGCGTGTGTTTACTAAAACAGTTCAAACCAAATTTGGGATTTATTGTGACAAGAAGTGGTTGATTAGTTTTTCCGAAAGTATGACAAATGTTGGGACTTTGCTTGGAGCGTCGCTGTTTGGAATGCTATCGGATAAGTAAGGACAGTTAGTTAGATTACTTTAGTGACGTTTAGTTCTGGTTATATAAATGCTTATTTATTTAATTCTTAAAAAAGGTCTGACCAAAATTGAAATTGTAATTTTAAAGCACTGGTTGTTCAACAACTGACTGAACCTTTCAAGTTTTCTTTATCGAACGGTAAAAACCTCGATTATGAAGATTATCAGTAACTCATACTGCTCGAGTCAATGATACTTTTGGCCAGTCAGTTGGTTCTTGTCAAGAGCATGCCTATTAGTGGCAGGCGCCGCTGCTTCTATAAGAAAACAAACCGTTACGGAACTATTCAACATAGGTAGCTCATTTTTATTATATTTTAAATATGAACCTAAACAAAAAAATATCATTGTGTGAGCTAGCAATAACATTTATTTTTATTGCTATTTATTACTATATAATTTATACTAATATATAAATCTACAGAGGTTTTTACGGATGTTCCGTGATATCTACTGAACCATGCAACTTGAAACTTGGTATCCATGTAGAAAATACATGTACTTAATGGAAAGGCTAATATTTATATGAGTGTTGGACTCCCTAGTAATAATGACAATAAATAATAATTCTAATTTTAAACGCCCAGCGAAGCGGGCGAATACGGCTGGTATTATATAATAACACACAACTTGTATTTTCAGACACGGCCGCCTATCAATGTTATCTTTAAGCTGCTTTATAGTGGCGACATCAGGATGTGTTGTCAGCATCATGCCTAACATCGGCTCCTTTATTTTCATGAGATGCATAGAAGGGTTAGGTGCTGGTGGAGCGATGGTTACAGCATACGTTCTATGTATAGAATATAGTGGAGTCAACGACAGAGAAACAGTTAGCGCTCTTTTTCACATACCTGTAACCTTCAGCCATATAACACTACCAGCGGTTTCCTATTTTTTGAGAGATTGCAATCAATTCCAATTGGCTATTTCTATTCCTCTTTACGCCTTCGTGACTTTGACATGGTTATTATTGGAGTCCCCAAAGTGGTTGATGGATAACGGTCGCATTGATGATGCTGCAATGGTTATGAACAAGATAGCGAAATTGTGAGTATTCGATTATAGTATTAGTAAAATAACACGTACAGGTTGCTCATTGCCAATATGAGTTCAAATAAAAGAAATCCAGTATTAAGTACTGATACTTGAACAAACAACTACATAAATCTAATAATATCTTTGCGTTTATATATTTTAAATTCTGAACATGTATTTGTTACTGAAGTCCTCAACGGATTGGATCGATTTTGGTATTTTTTTTGGGTATATTTTGGTGGGTCCCAGGACACTGATCCAATACATTGTGAGGCGCTACACTATCATAGTTTAGTGGTTTTTATTAAAAAATATAACAAATCCAGCAAAAACGGCATTGTGTCAGCAAAATTTTCAAGAAATCTTACAATAAAACATATGTACATAATATGTGAATTTAAATAGGTTTCCAACCACATTTGAACTATTAGTCTACTAACAGAAAAAACCGGTTCTTTGGAACTACCCCTTGCGATAGTGAAATGAGAAAAAAACCTCGATTCCAATGAAAAGAGACCAAAATCTCTAATAACTAAGACTACACAATATGTTTTCCTACGAAAATATATTTATCCAATAAATGTGTGCAGCCCACTCAGTTTAATTATCCTACATCATTTTTCTCTCCTCAACACATTCAGTATTTTATGGCTGAATTGAAAAAAACTGTTACTCTCATAAGCTGCTCAGAAAAACGAATTAAATAGAAAAAATAATAATAAATCTATTTTTTTTCAGTAACAAGCAACCACAATCTAATATTAAAGCTGAAATAATAGAATACAACCGGACGCAAAATCCAGCTTCGATAACAAAACTCAACTTCTTCTACATTTTCAAAGATAAAAATTTAACCACTAATTTTGCCTGCATGTCTTGGATCTACTTCGTCTGTGGGTTAGGTTATTATGGAGTATCTGAATATATTAGTGGAATGAGTAAAGATATTCATAGGAATGTTGCCATTTCTGGAATGCTAATACTACCAGGAACGTTAGCTGCAGTAATTTTGCTAAAAAGATTATATAGACGAACCTTTCTTATGTCAACGTGCTTTCTATCAGGTATTTTTATGATAGTGGTGATATCAACAGATGCATCATCCACGTGGATGAGATTAATTATGGCTTGTATATGTAATTGTTTTTTCTTTCTTTCGTTTATCATTGTTTTTTTATATGGTGTAGAATTATTTCCAACATCAATAAGGAATTCTGTCTTAGGTATTTTATCTTTAATGTCTAGATTAGGTCAGATTGCGGCTCCTCCTGTTGTTAAATCGTTGTCTGAAATTACCTCCGGATCTGTATTTGGCGTGACAGCGATTTTAGGTGCAGTTACATGTTTTCCTCTACCAGAAACTAAAGGTATGGAGCTACCATCTAGTCTGCAACATTCGAAGACTTTGCCTAGAAGGAAGTCAATGCTAGAACAAAGCATCATGTCGGCAATAGGGAGCAAATCGTCTTGAAGCATCCCCTGAATAAGTAATGAATTCTCCTTATAAATAAAATGTATAATTAATATATTTTTTACATTTTAAGCAATTTATTTACATTCAAATTGTTTGTGCATGAATATTTCTAAGCGTGTTTTTATTTTAAATAAAAAAATAATGACTTTATTGATGTTATTCTCTTAAAAAAAATTCTTATCCCATCTGGTTTGTTAGATACCTATTATTTTTGGTCCTTCTCATTAGCATGGCTTTTCATGCCAAAAAAGTGCAAAAAATGACTTCATAACATCATTTACATAATCCGACTCTTTTCTGGCCTCCATATCTCCTGTTTATACTTTAACATATTATACAATAAACATATTTAGTTAAATATTTATTTGCCCTTTTTATAACCAATCTAGTACCGATCAGTCTTCTCAGTTTATAAGTATGTATTAATATCTAGTGGAATATTTCGGGACACAAGCGACATCGCCTGGGCTGACCTGACGGGTGCCGTACCGAGATAGCTAACGTTACCGTCGACACTTCGATGGCTGGCCATTGTTGAAGAGAACTACGCGTCTGTTTGTAGAGTTGACCGTGGTCCCGGTGGTGGAACGTGGACCCTACCTGGTCTTTCTATATCAGGCAGGGATCGGGAGTCGGGCGAAAGTATACAGGAATCGATTAGTCTTTACTATCGTCAGCCTAAGTCCCACATTTTTTACGCACCCCTTTAGGCGTAGGAGCATCCTAGGAGATTCCAATACCAGCCAGAAAATAAATAAAAAAGAAAAGAAAAAAGAAGAAAAAAGTTGAGCGTGAGCTTGAAATTTAAACTATAGCTAAATATATAAAAAAATAGCATTGAGGAAGGAAGGAAAAGGAGATATAGAGGGTAACAATTAATGAAAAGCTCTGTAGAACATAAAATAATGAAAATAAACAGGTCTTCTATACAATAAATCCAAAGCAATACGGAGAGATTCTTCTAGTCCCCTGGATAATTTACAATAAAACAAAGGCGACACGGCTATTTTCAATAAGCTCCATGTACCGGGGGATAATGAAAAAAGTTTTTATTACCGACAAAGCGCGGTTTTGTTCGGAAACTCGAAGCTATAAGGTAAAGTGTGACGTCACAATCTATTTTTTAGATGACGCTCCGATTTGGGAAGGCGATTAAAAGATTTCTTTTTTTTTCATTCATAGCGATCATATTACAAATCCCGAAGTATGTGTCATCGTGATGTAATGATAAATTTACATCTACTCTTCATATTCAAGAATTAGGTGATTTTAGTTTAAATCATTCTCATGATTTAACATGTTTAGTTTCTAACACTTGACGGCTACTTATAAGGTTTTTGATTTTGTTTATGTTTCACAATATGTTAGCGATTTTAAAAATGCCAATGTAGCTATTTTAAAGGGAATAGCTACTGCCATACTGACCAAATTTCTTGTTGGTAAATTATAAATTTATCAAACTGTACACAAGAGAGAACATCAAAACACCTATCTTTACCACCTATTCATAGTTTCAGCGTAAGCTTAATGACTCTTAAAAATAATAGCATAGCAACATTAATATTATTAGCATAATCCCATACACTAATACAAAAAGATGCCCCTCTGATGAAACCTTACGTCGAACATCAGTTAACCGGGTAAATAGTTTATCCCGCATCCCACATCCGAACCTCTCCAGACAATTATAAATCAATTTGGTACATTATAATCCGGGTTTAAGCCCGGTATAAGGTCATTTACGCTTCGGCCACGGGTCGCGAGCTGTAAATCAACCGGAGAGATGACCTCGGATAACAGATGGTGCCGGTGACACGCCCACCACACGCCGGTTCACATCAAAGGGCCATTTTAAAATGCGATTACGTGTCGCGATAATTTGTGTCTAAGCCCTAATCTTTTGTAATGTGCCTAGTCTCTTTTATCTTTGGATTTTGATGAGGAGTTTATCTCTTTAAATAAAAATGAATTGCTGTTCGTTAATCTCGCTAAAACTCGAGAACGGCTGGACCGATTTGGCTAATTTTGATCTTGAATTATTCGTGGAAGTACAAGGAAGGTTTAAAAGGTGAGAAAATATAAAAAAGCTCGGAATTATATAAAAACAAACAATTTTGTTTTGTCCTCTTGATGTGTCTTTTTATTTATCGATTGAGGCACTACGAAGTCTGCCGGGTCAGCTAGTAAATAATAAAACTGGATATCGAGGTGCGTTTTAAGAAGACTCGAGAAAAATAGAAATGATTTTCTTTCAGTATTTCCTTGGGTTTTCACTAGTCGTAGACGTAACTAAAATTACATAAACAATATTTGAGTAATATAAAATAAGCTTTTTATTTCCGTCTATTGTCATTAAAAGCTCCTTATGTCATAAAAGTCCGTCAGAAGTAGACATGGCCAAATAATTTTATAAGCTTAGATGTCTTTTTTCCCTACCTAATCTTTGGTAGCCTAAATGGCTATTCCAACTTCACGCTGACTGGTTGGTGAGCTCACGGACGCAACCCCAGAGAAATGCTAACACACATAAGCTTCGCTGCATCTACTATCGGATTAAAAATCCGGCGACAAACTCAGTGGATTATAGATGTCCGTCCATCATCAAAAGAATATTAACTATTAAGCTTACTTTCAATGACTTAAGCCTGACTGACACTTAATTAGTACTGTCCTGAATCAACAAAAAGAGCTGGATGATATTTCGAGATCTGAATGTTGGGCCCAAAGCAAAAAAGTTTTATCGACAAAATCGACACAGGTTTCGTCTACCAAATTAATTAAATTACTATAAATTTATAGACTGCGACAAAAATAAATTAAAACTAGACGTCGATATTACAGAATTTATATTAAAAACACTATTGTTATACACACGCTAATTTAAAATTCGACTCGTGAAACAAAATGTCCTAACGACCGAGTAATTACAGCAGACACGAGACCTCGGCGTAAAAAAATAAAAATAAATTTTCTTTTACAAAACGTGACCAAACTGTAAATCGGTTAACAATGGCCCCAGATTCCTGTTTTTCTCGACGACGGCAAAGCCATAGGAGTTAAAATTTGGGCAGCGTGCGTATAGCGTCGTGTAAAATAAAACAAAATCCATACAATTTTTACTGGTGGTAGGACCTCTTGTGAGTCCGCGCGGGTAGGTACCACCGCCCTGCCTATTTCTGCCGTGAAGCAGTAATGCGTTTCGGTTTGAAGGGTGGGGCAGCCGTTGTAACTATACTGAGAACTTAGAACTTATATCTCAAGGTAGGTGGCGCATTTACGTTGTAGATGTCAATGGGCTCCAGTAACCACTTAACACCAGGTGGGCTGTGAGCTAGTCCACCCATCTAAGCAATAAAAAAAAAAAAAAAAAACAAAAAAACAATACTTGATGAATATGCCTACTGAATCCTTATTCCCTACATTACTAACCGAAACAAGTTTGATAACTTAATCGTTTCTGTATTGATTCATTTTTGATGACCAGGCATCAAACGCATTTATTTTGAACGAAATAATTGTCTTTTCTCTACTTTATAACCACGCGTCATATAACAGCAAAAATTTTTCTGCGGCAAGCACACATTGTCTACATCACCAAAAATGCAACGCCCTTTTGAATTTAAAAAAGGGCGTTGCATTTTTCAAGATTTTATGATGGCTCCATTACTTGTCAGGCTACATCACTGTGGATTTCACCACCAGCATCTAACAGAAGTCAAGAAGTAATAAGTTGTTGGCCAAAAGTATATTTTGATAAGAATAATGTTTAAATTTTATGTTTAAATACTTACTCTATGTTTAATTTTACTGGTGTAAGACCTCTTGTGAGTTCGCACGGGTAGGTACCACCGCCCCGCCTATTTCTGCCGTGAAGCAATAATGCGTTTCGGTTTGAAGGGTGGGGCAGCCGTTGTAACTATACTGAGACCTTACAACTTATATCTCAAGGTAGGTGGCGCATTTACGTTGTAGATATCTATGGGTTCCAGTAACTACGTAACACCAGGTGAGCTATGAGTTCGTCCACACACACATCTAGGCAATAAAAAAAATATCATAAATTAGTTGTTAAATTTAAAAATATACATAACAGTGGATGGACGACGGTGTTTCAAAAATTTCTCCAGGTGGGCTGCGACCAATTGTATTTTCTTAAGAATAAATCACATTTTACTGCATTTATATTCCTTTCTTTGTGGTCTCAAGTGTACTAAAACTAAATTTTAAGATAAATTCTTTGAAAACTTCAATCTAACTTTACGCACTAACTTAGAAGCAGTAAAGCCTTAATACATTAAAATTGTAAATCCAGTTTATATAATATTTACCTTTGATCTCGGGATTTGTATATTAGTGCTATTGAGACCTCTCATAGAAAACAAGTCAGGGGTTTCGATTTTATGACAAAAACATCAACCTATACTAATATCGGATCAATTTGTTTGTTTGTTTGTTTCGCTTTCAAGTCTTAACAAGGTACTCATGCGGTTATAAAAATTTGAAGCACAGAAAGGAAGATAAGGCACCGTTCATCTAGAAAAAAATTCTGTTCCTGAAGGTTTTCTTATACAGGGTGTTACAAAACTACCCGTAAAGCCGAAAGGAGGTTAAAGGGGGCATTTTAACGAGTCTATTCACAATATTTAAGAACCGTAGCAACGCTGTACAACAAGCCACAAAAAAAAAATTTTTTTTTCACTGTTGTGCAATCCCTATATCAGCAAAATTAAAGAGTAAACTACGCAGAATGTACCCACATTTCTACCTAATTCGCGGAACGACAAAACTTTTAAAAGACCTAACCTAACGAAACAAAAAATCGAAATTGACAACATGTTTTCTTCCAACGTGACATTTTTTTAATCCTGTACTTGGGTATAATGGCATCATTGTATTGAGGTAGCCAACATTTATGAATGAAAAATAGAAAAACTATTAAAGTAGACAATAATAATACTTTAAAGTAAGTATGTGTGTATGTATATCTATGTGTGTGTGTGTGTGTATTTGTATGTATATATATTGTTTTGTATCTTGTAATATGTATATATTATTATATGTAATGTTTACTGTATGCACTAGGTTTGTGTTCCTAATTCTGCTTTCCTTTTGCGGGACTACTGGAAGAGATTTCAACATGAAATAAGTAGTGCCCTTGTACTCTGTATCCTTATGGTCGTGTTTTTTCTAACAGCTGTGTGTACAAAATATATTAAATAATAATAAAAAATATATAATAATTATTATTAGGTAAAATAGGTACGTAGGCCTTTCTGTTAAATAATCTGGTTCCCTGACATGACAGCTTACTAGGATTGACAAAATTGTTGGCTTTGATAATTAATTATATTTTTTACGGGGTATTTTGTAACACGTTGTATAAATGCGAGTAATTATTTTTATGCTATGCAACAGTCCCATAGTCGTGAATGCACGGTGAACTCACACTCCTTCAAACAGAGTTTGTTCTTCGGGTTCTTTTGCGTTTTAAATAATACAATCATTTATTTACTAATAATAAATTTATTAAATCTAATGACTATCAAATAAATTATCTTACATTAGCTATTTATTACTAAGAATCGTCAGATGGGCTCCGAGGAGAACCTCTGAAGTGATTTAGCCGCGGTTATTGTTATTCAGTATCAAACATCTCATCATTCAGGACAAATCGTTGAAAAAAATTTAAATACCTTTCTTCCCTTAAAACTGGAGATACCAGACCTTTTGCTACATTTTATTTTGGAATTGATTGTTAAAATTCAAATTAACACACAAATTTTACATTAACTATAATATAATTATGTTGTTGAAATTCATGTTGATGACACATCAGCCTAAAGTACTCAAACAAGTACCATCTTTCAGAATATTTGGCTCCCACTAAACTATGTACTTTTCAAATTGCTTTGCTTTGATAAATGTAAAACACGATATCAGAAACACGAAGTGATCAGTATCTAACCATATGAATAATTTGGACTTGAATAGCATTATTTTAAGTCACTTTGGTTTAGTGAGGAATTCAAATTGAAAAAAAAGTTGCACTCACTCACTGTATTTAAATCCAGGGGTAAAAGGCTATTGGGTTTAAGCGACATTTCGGTTAATACGCGAGATTTGTGATTAAAGATCCTTTTTGTGATATTAGTATTTGTAGTAGATTAGTACTGGTAGTAGGACGTATTGTGAGTCCGCACGGGTAGGTACCACCACCCTGCCTATTTCTGCCGTGAAGCAGTAATGCGTTTCGGTTTGAAGGGCGGGGCAGCCGTTGTAACTATACTTGATACCTTAGAACTTATATCTCAAGCTGGGTGGCACATTACGTTATAAATGTCTATGATGAAAAAATAAAAAATATAACAACAATCCGATGCTTTCTATTTAATTCAATTAGGTTCACCCCATTCGAATAACTGAAGTTTTTTGTCAGGATATTTTTTCCAAATTTTAAACTTTAAATGGATGTCCTGTAAAGTTGCAAGAATGTCGCTTAAACTAAATAGCCTTTCACCAGTCTATACGTACCTACATAGACTGTATCCTCAAGAGAACATATTATCTTTTGAAATTTTTAATTCGAAAAGTAAAAGTCAATTGTCATCATTCGACCGGGTGCAACCCTGTACGAGAATAAGAATGCGGTAACAGAAACGTTCAACCCTACCGTGTGCATATAAAGGTTAAGGTTAAAACAAAATCACTTCACAATCTCGAAACGCGGAAGCCGATATCTTCAATCGACAGTGATCAGACCGCATTCCCTGATCACTTGCTCTGCTGAGACTGGATTCAGGAACACTGAAAGCAAAGAATAAATGCATAACATAATTGTATCTGATGATACAATGAAATCCCGTTGTTTTCTATTACGAGGCTTTATTTTATATTTGTACAATAATTTGTTTAGAGTAGAGATGTTTAGTTTGTATTTTTTATGAATTAAATGAAGTAATTAAGTAAAGAAGCAAGAAGCTTGTATAAATTGAATTAAGTAGGTAGAAAAAGAAGCGGGAATTGTTCCTCGTGAAAGTGTTAAGAGACAGATTATATTTTAATTACAGAGTAGTTAGCTTAATATAGATTATAGACGACGCGACACGCAGATACGGAAAAGGCGTTAACAATAATAATTATATTGTATGAGTAGTACCTACCTATATACGTAATCTTTAGAAGTCTTCAAATCGATATTTTTACTTTAAAAGTTTATTTTAATTCGTTTCTAAGTCAACTTAGTTATTTGATTTGATTCAACAAACAATACAGGACGATTTGGAAAATTTTGAGAATTTAAAAAAAAGGAAAATGTTTATCAATAAAAAAAAAATTGCTTGTCCGCAAGACGGTTTACGGACGATGGGTTTGCGTGACAATGTCAGTAGCAGAATTATTCGAACCGCTAGCTCTGACGTCACACAAGAAGAGAGGAATCTGTCACAGGCCAACGCATGGGCCGACCACAAGATGTTCAGAGCCTACATATACATAGGCTTAAGAAAACTATTAAAGAACATCTGTGCAATAAAGCTTACTATAAAGTATAATAATTAATCATTATCTAGAAGATTGCACAAAGTGGGAATGAGTTGCTCGCTCCGGGCATTTCAATATTGCAATAATTGTTACGTTATAATCCCTCTTGTAAAAATCTAATATTTAAAAAAAAAGACATGTCCGGTGAGTTTCTTGCCAGTTCTTCTCAGGACGGAGGCTAATTTTTGTGAATTGGCGGTAGTTCTTTTTGACGTTCAACAAGTATGTACTTTCATTTATGTTGAATAAAAAAAAATTGATTTGATTTGATTTAATTTGATCGTGCCTCTCTATCGCTTGTTCCGCGCTCTCGCTTGCACGCTCAGGCTCAGGCGGAACGTGACACTTTTTTGTGCGTGCAGCCGGTGTTCATCGATTTGACGTTATCACGTCAAAAAAAAATATATTTCTGTGCTATTGTTACTTCAAAATTTGTCATCAACTTCTTCATCCCACATTCAATTTAGACGGATATACGTAGTTCTCAAAATTTTCTGACTTAAACTCGTACTCACTTGTGCTTCCACTGAACAAATCTTGATCTGGAATAATGCTTGCTGCTGCTATGGCAGCCTCGTCCAATACGATTACCTGAAATTCATAATTTTTAATATCACAACGATGTGATGTAGTAAACACAAGAGATGCGCCTATAATTAGAGCCTCTACATTCCATATACGGTACGCGAGGAATGGCGTTGTCTTGTGAAGCGCACCGCTGAACTGACGACCACGACCGCTCTATCAAGAGTTTAAGCGACTGAGAAGAAGAGATTACTTTTTATTTATTGAATGATGACTGGTGGCCCTGAGGCCTTTCCAGTTTCAACAGGACAAGTGGGCGAGCAAAGGCTCAGCCAGGAGGAGTGGGATTTGCTAACAGCTGCTCGAGCGCCTCCGAAGGAGACCTAACAACTCAAGAGCAGTACTTCGCGAATGAATTTACTATTGGATCGGAATCGCGACCCGCTGAGAAGATCCGGCGAGAAACTCAGCGAGCTGATTCATGGGTTAGATTGCACGTCGAACTCTTTGTCGAGTTCGACGAGTACGGTTACCCGACTCCCTAAGCCTGCTCCTAGTGTTAGAGCTGAAGGCGTCTAATGCAAAGGTTATTGGATCTGATGGATCCGTAAGAACGTGAAGAAGACATTCCATGTTCATTCACTTCATACGAAAATATCCTCTTTAATTAAGAATTTCATCACATGTGGCCAATGAAAAATAGTTTAATTTTATTTTGAATTTCGTCACTATAGTTAAATAAAACACGTATTGAAAAAAACAGCCTTGCTGCGTGAAATCAATGCTAAATAACAAAAATTTAAATCTATGAATCCAGCACGTACACATATGTACAGAATTCAAATATTATTTTACAAACTTTCATTACCGTATAAAATCTTATACCATATTTTATGTATATTTCTAGTTTTATAATAGACTACCCTAGATGGCTACAAACCATCAAAATTGAAAATCGAGTAGATCTTTGCAAGGCTTCCTATAAGTCATGATTCGGGTTGCACCAAACAAATTAATTTCACGCTCTTTTTTAAATATATACGCATTAATGTATGTACATATTTTTTCTTAATTTAAAGCACACACATGCAGACAATCCGAGAATATGAAATTCATGATCACTGTGGTGACCTCACACACATAATTATTTAGTTTGTGAGTGTGAGCCGCCGCATCTTACCGCGCCACTCACCCGCTGACCTCTAAACATAAAGCTTTCACTACACTTTTACACTTTTTTTTGTTTTGTTTTTCCTACCTAAGCTGAGAGGTTTGAAAGGCTATATCAGCGTAACCTTAAATAGTAGGTGAGCTCACGGGGCTCAAACCTGACGACGTTGCTAACACGAACCCTAGCAAGAGCCGTGCTTCGCAGAATCTACCACCGGATCGGAAACGCGACCAACTGAGAAGACCCGGCGAGAAACTCAGTGGGCTGTGTCTGAGGGTTAATTTTCTCTTCGAGCCCTTCGTCGCAAGCGACGGGTTCGACGAGGACGATGACAGGTGCTTGAGGTACCTAAAAGCACCGTTAGTGGATCGGGAGGATCCGAAATGATGTGTTTGGGGCGACGTCGACTGCTTTCCATTCTGTCCGCAGGATCGGGAATGACTTTTATACACCGGCTGCGAATAGTTGCAATGTCGTGAGCTTCGCGGTCAGACGTCAGAGTCACTACATGATATTTCCCAAAAACAATAAATCTACAACTCACTTTAGGGAAACCAATTATTTTGGCAGTGTGAAGTGGCTCGGCCGCCTTTTCTTCGGGCATGGGCGTATTCCTCAACGGCAGCAGGTCTATGGCGTTAGCGGCCAGAGACCACAGATGACCGGCCCCCTGCGGTGCTCTGGCTCCTTTACGAAAATGAGGGTTTATGGAGAGATTGTGTCGAACGGAATTCTTCCAGCGTTCGTCGTTGGCTTTGTAGAACGGGAAACGATCACTGAAAACATTATTACATTATTTACTGGTGGTAGGATCTCTTGTGAGTCCGCACGGGTAAGTACCAACACCCCGCCTATTTCTGCCTCGAAGCAGTAATGCGTTTCGGTTTCAAGGGTGGGGTAGCCGTTGCAACTATACTGAGACCTTAGAACTTATATCTCAAGGTGGGTGGCGCATTTACGTTGTCTGTGTCTATGGGCTCCAGTAACCACTTAACACCAGGTGGGCTGTGAGCTCGTCAAGCTATTTAAGCAATAAAAAAAGAAGGACTCTTTCACCCATACATATCCCATATAAGTATCCCACCCACCCAAATATATCGCACCCATATTTTCTTCAATAATCATTTGTTAAACTTCACACACAAGAAGGCAAACTAAAACGTAAAACATACAAATGCACGCTAATCGTACCTACTCACTTCCTAAACACGTTGTACCTGCCCAAAGTTGACTATAAAAAAGGGCCTTTTCCGTAGCAGGTGTAATCGAATTAACGTCGACAATCGAGGCTAATCGCGACCGTTTGGCGCCGGATGTTTTGTTAATGGGGCGGTGCAAGAGCCGGGGAGCGAGCTCACGTAACCATTGACCGTACCGGCTCGCGATAGAGCCAGCACCCTCGCCACCGTACGCTCCGAGACGTGAATGTTACGCATTACGGTTTTTGTGGCTTGCAATATCGATGAATCGCGTTTTTGGCTACTTGTTAACGTTTAAACTATCTTTAAACTAATCTATACTAATATTATAATCTATACTAATATTATAAAGAGAAAAGATTTGTTTGTTTGTTTGTATTTAATAGGCTCCGAAACTACTTAACCGATTTGAAAAATTCTTTCACTGTTTGGAAGCTACACTACACTATTCCCGAGTGACATAGGCTATAATATTTTTTTAACAAAAAAGGGATTCTCACTAAAACTCCAATAACGTAACCAAAGGTGTAAAAACATTACCTAAAATATTCTTTACATCGCGTGCCCTGCGAAAACTATTGATGATAGAATAATATAATTTACTACTACTTTGTACAGCCAAAAAGTGTCGCGACAGCATATGTCTAACTATTAAAGTTATGCCGCAATAAGTGTTCTGTTATTTGAAAAAATAAAACAACGTCGTTGAAATTTTCCATACAGACCCGAGCGGAGCCGGAGCGGTCCACTAGTATACTATTAAAGGTGTTCTGGAAAACGATAATAGGCAATTATAAAAAAAGCATATTCGTATTATATACAATATTTTTTGTTGCACATTGCGTAAAATTTAATATCATGAGAGAAAAAATGAAATGCGTCTGCCATTTATTGTTTATTGCTTATTCACATAATATGGCATGACTAAGGCAACGAATACTTTTTCTCGCATCAATTAAGTAAATTTGTTATAAAGAAAAAATATTTTCTATTAAATTACTATAGCATTTTAACGTTTATCTTTCTACCTCTGCTCCTTATTCCAATATCTTTAAACCATGTACAGCTGTATATCCAGTGGAATTTTCACTATCCAAAATAAAGAAGGACAAACATCAACTAATAATATTTACGATTTTGATATGATAAAAATAAAAGGATAATGACAGAACACTCGAATTACTACTACTAGGTATTATTTTTACATTTCACGCAATCTATAATACGTATACATTATATGTATCCTAATGAAAAAAATATAGATTCGAGTTGATATTCAATGTCAACACCCTGTATTTGTAAAAGGCAGTGGCTATTCCGGTAATCGCATTTGAGCTAGTTAAAATCGATAACGAGCATAATTCGATAATTCCCCGGTTCTCAAAGATAAAACAAACTACATATTATATACATACGGTATTGCCTAAATAAATCCACAGTAATCTGTGCGATAGTGACAGTGTAAACACATGCCGCGCGATATTTAATATTAATTCGACCCCTCGGTCACGGAGGGATAAACAACCGTTCCCGATAACGACATCGCGATAAAAGATAACACGATTAGTATTCGATAAATGAATTAGTCCAAATTAAAAACCAATTAACTATCTGACTGAAATATAAAATTGGTGTAATCATCGATCACCGATTCTGGAGTCCACTGAGTTTGTCGCCGGAACTTCTCAGTGGGCTGCGTCTATAGGTTAATTCGCTCGTCGAGCCCTTCTTCGCAAGCGACGGGTTCGAGGAGGACGGTGACCGGTGCTTGTGGTACCTAAAAGCACCGTTAATGGACCGGGAGGATCCGTAATGACAAGATTCTGCGAAGCAATGTTCTTGCTAGGGCTAGTGTTAGCAACGTTGACAGGTTTGAGCTCCGTGAGCTCACCTACTTATTAGGTTACGCTGACATCCCCTCTCAAGGCTATCAGTTTAGGTTTAAAAAAAAGAAAGATAGATTGGCCGATTAGGTAATAATATTAAATAATATCTACCCGCCCTTCTTGCCTTTCTAAGGTTCTATCTCAGCAAGCATCCGACGCTTGACTGGAAACGCAGTTTTGCGCATCTCGTTTCATTCTCTTTCATCACAGCCCCAACACGTTGGGTAAATATAAAAGTGTTTTTATTTATGGCATAAATGGGTGGACGAGCTCACAACCCGCCTGGTGCTAGGTGGTTACCAGAGCCCATAGATATCTACAATGTAAATGCCGTCATCCACCTTGAGATATAAGTTCTAAGGTCTCAAGTATAGTTACAACGGAGCCCTACCCGCATTACTGCTTCACGGCAGAAACATGCAAGGTGGTGATACCTACCCGTGCGGACTCACAAGACGTCCTACCACCAGTAAAAACACCATTTAAACTCTCAGTACAAAAAACGATATTCCTTAAGGCTTAACAGTAACTAATATTATAAATTATCGTCTGCCTATCTTAGCTATTTCCGTCGGTATTTATACAACTTGTATTACAGTTACTGTCTGAAGAACATGATATCGTTTGTAATTGAGACTTTGTTATTCTGTGAAGAGGTGTTTCGCTAACTGTTCAACTTAAGCTGTAGGTAGCGTCGATAATATCTATCAGACTTATTTCAAATCAAGGAAAGCAATTGGGACAATCAGACCTCAGTCAGCAATGTCTCATTCACTCATCACTGCCACATATTTTTATATATTTAACTATTGCAATCAATAAACACAGCAACACAGTTGTGTACCCCTAGCATTTCTAGTGTTCTTCTAGCAACGTTTACAATCCTGTCAAATTTCTAAGGAGCCTCTCCATTCCCGTGGCTAGGATTGCCCAACTATCACAACACGGCCCACGGTTTCAATATTAAAAGGCAGCACCCTAGTGAACTATTTAAACTATTTTGAAGTGAAACCTTCAAACCAGATGAAACGGAAATGATACTCGAAAAGCAACACTAAAAAGTTAATCCTTATCCACAGGATTTAATCGCGAGAGAATCAGATGTATCACCATGTCCATGACTTGAATATTTCATTCCCTCTATGTATGGATTGCATTTTTTATTTATTTATCTTAATAATAATAATCTGAAGTATCATAATAAAGAGCTATTCTGCAACTCGTTCAATGATTGAAGTCATCGTGGCCTAAAGGATAAGACGTCCGATGCATTCGTGTTAAGCGATGCACCGGTGTTCAAATCCCTCAGCCGAGTACCAATTTTTCTAATGAAATACGTACTCAACAAATGTTCACAATTGACTTCCACGGTGAAGGAATAACATCGTGTAATAAAAATCAAACCCGCAAAATTATAATTTGCGTAATTACTGGTGGTAGGACCTCTTGTGAGTCCGCACGGGTAGGCACCACCACACTGCCTATTTCTGCCGTGAAGCAGTAATGTGTTTCGGTTTGAAGGGTAGGGCAGCCGTTGTAACTATACTTGAGACCTCAGAACTTATATCTCAAGATGGGTGGCGCATTTACGTCGTAGATGTCTATGGGCTCCAGTAACCACTCAACACCAAGTGGGTTTTGAGCTCATCCACCCATCTAAGCAATAAAAAAAAAACTAACAATTGTAATACTAGTCGTAACATTAACCTATGAACGAACTGCAAATTTGTTGTAACACACAAAAAGGTACGTATTATAGATACTAGCTTTAATTTGAAATATAACAAAATATAAATAAAACATAAAATATTATAAATTATTCTCATAAAAGAATTGCTTTACAATGGCCATTAAATCCGATTCTAGTCCATTAGGAGACACAAAAGACACCACAATGCCGCACCGGAAAAAAGAGACACGCCAAAACACAACACTAATAAGTACTAAGCTATTCTTCCATTATAATTTTCATAGAGTGGTGTTGAAATGACAATTAGTGATATTTTGATATTGCTTGCGGGGGAAATATTTTTCATGTCACATTATAATACACTAGAGCATGACCAAGCTTTGATCGGTTTTTTTTTTTTGATAATTTATGTTTTTTAGAAATTATAATATATTAAATACGAATTACATATTGATATTATATTGAATAATTTGTTATTTTCTTTCTATATTAAAAAAAAAGTTTATGTTTTAGTTGATTATCGATAAAGATGATTATTGAAAACACGAATAAAACAACATTTTCTGAAAATAAATCGTAGCTAGATCGATTTATCGCCCCCGAAATCCCCTGGATACTAAATTTTATGAAAATCGTTGGAGCCGTTTCCGATATTCAGATTATATATATTTACTAGCTGACCCGGCAGACTTCGTAGTGCCTCAATCGATAAATAAAAGACCTAAACTTTTGTATAAAATAAACTTAAAACAAACAAAAGGAATTCGTCCGACGGGGAACACATCAAAGGAAAATACAAAATTGTTATTTTTATTTAATTCCGAGCATTTTCATATTTATCCACCTTTTAAACTTTCTCTCGACTTCCACAAATAATTCAAGATCAAAATTAGCCAAATCGGTCCAGCTGTTCTGGAGTTTTATAGCGAGACTAACGAACAGCCATTCATTTTTATATACTTATATAGACTAGCTGACTCGGCAGACTTCGTAGTGCCTCAATCGATAAATAAAAGACCTAAACTTTATTTAATTAAGAGCATTTTCATATTTATCTACCTTTTAAACCTTCTGTGGACTTCCACAAATAATTCAAGACCAAAATTAGCCAAATCGGTCCAGCCGTTCTCGAGTTTTAGCGAGACTAACGAACAGCAATTCATTTTTATATATGGGTATAGATATACAAGAATTGCTCGTTTAAAGATGTAAATGTAAGAACATTATAGTGTGTTCTGGACCAAAACAAATGTATTTGTTCGATATTGCACGCATGAATACAGATGAAGTTCGGTGCAATGAACGAAATGGTACCACCAGTCAAACAATATTTACGAATAGGGTTCGAAGTTTGCGTCAAATCACGGAATGGAATTATCGCACACGAAACATTTCGACCGTCTTCGTTGACAGACAAGAAAGGAAACCATGAATATTGCAACAGTATCGAGTAAACTGAGTATTTTAGCTACTCACAATAATACGTGAAACATTTTGATAGAAGATCAAGCTAAGTGAATCAGATAATCTAAAAAAAATGTTTATTTATTTACTATTAAAATTTTTTTTATTGTTTAGATGAGTGGACTAACTAGCTCACAGCCCGCCTGGTGTTAAATAGTTACTGGAGCTGGAGGGTACAATGTAAATTCGCCACCACACTTAACGAGTGGGTGTGCCAAGCCTCAGTTCGCGACCCATGGAAAACATCTGTCAAGGCTTTAATAAACAAAAATTCCACATGACCACGACTTCTCTGGCAAGAGTACCCGACTAAGATGACCACCATTTCCTAATCATTTACTATAAGGTAATATCTTCGTCTCCTATGAAGGCGAATACAAACTATTATCCTGCTTACTTTTTTTTTTATTGCTTAGATGGGTGGACGACCTCACAGCTCACCTGGTTACTGGAGTCCATAGACGTCCACAACGTAAATGCGCCACCCACCCCGAGATGATACAAGTTCTAAGGTCTCAAGTATAGTTACTATTTATATTACATTTATTTTTATTAAATAAAATTATTTATTACTTTTATTTATATATTTATAAATATATTATATTATACTATTTATATCTTGAATGCTATTCAAGCAATTTCAATGTCGTTACACCCGAGCCATTGATTTAATTTCATGTTGTGGTATAGGTACCAGTAGCCACTTAAAATTAGGTGAGCCCTGAACTCATCCTCATAATCAGTCCGAAAAATAGAGAAAAAAAAAAAAAAAAAGCCGCCTACTGTGATCGTCACTGATCTGTTATATGTATACAGAAAATGGCAATCGAGCTAATCCATGTCGAAAGAAACATTACAGCTGTATAATACGGCTGAGACCTCATGTCTCAAAGTGAGTTTCATGTTGTCTTCGAGCGCCAATAGCCGCTTGACACCAGGTGAGTCTAAATTTAAAGTAATTATATCGATTGACTGGTTCTATCGCAGCCAACGTGAATACAGTTCAATCAAAAACCATGACCACCTAGATGTCAGCAGTATTAGAAAAAATATTCAGCTATGCATTTAAGTTATTGGTATTCGAAATTTATCAGTAATCTAAAACTGATTATATAAACTTTACAAAAAACTTTACATCATATCAATAGGATCGTTACTTGAACAACAGCTTTCTTAATATTACGTAATTGCTAAGAGTATGTTAAATGAGCTTTTCAACATATTTCATTTTGTCACTTTTACTCAGAAAGTTGATAATTATTCAAATTATGTTGGTTCCGAAAAGAATTCAACAAGAAAATCCTTCATTATTAAATTATAAAAAACCAGATAATTTAATTTATTACTATCGAATTTCCACAGAATACCTTGTTATGTAACATTTGCTAGAACTTACGATATCCACTGATAGATCCCGGATACAGTCAGCTCTCCGTTCTCCCGGAGCGCTCGTTCAATCAGTTCAGGATAAGTATACGGGGGCTTCCTCACCGCTGGCGATTCCACATCCACCTTCGCTTCTTTCACGACCGGTTCGTCGTCAGGCACCCTCACGTTGACCACTTCGTCCAGCCTGAAGTTTAAGAGCCACGCCAAACTGGCGCAGTCGTTGTCATTGTCGATGTTCTTCGACAATTTGCGTCGCCTCCACTTTTCACTCTCCGAGGTTTTGGTGGCCATGTTTGCTTTGACAGCTGTGCTCGTGTGACTCGTGTTGACTGAATCATTTTTCGAATTCGGAACGGGGCTTAGCGGAGCGTGCCAGCCCGTGATATCTCCTAGATACGTTCGCGTGGAAGGAGTCCGCATTGGACGTGGGTTATGGATGTTCTGTGGGGAGTTTTTATTTTTTTTATTGTTAAACGGTTTTATTTTTATTTTTTTTGTCTTGCTTTTTTTTTATTTTAATTTTATTGTTTCGCATAGGTTTCGTTAGTAAATATTAGTGATGCTTATTGTCCGTTTTCAATAATGTTGTATTATGAAACTTAACGCTCTTATTGTTAAAAATATCCAAAGAGGTTTGTGGTAATGAGATTTTATACGTTGATGAGAGTACTGATTAATTTATTAATACTATTATTACTAATCAGTTACTGGTGGTAAGGCATCATTCGAGCCCGCACGAGTTGGTACTAACTTGCCAAATTCTGCCGTGAAGCAGTAATGAGTTTCGATTTGAAACTTGGAAATCATGTCTTAAGTTGGGTGGCGGCGTTACCGTTGTTGATAGACATCAAATTAAGCATAGACATGGACTCCAGTAACAATTTAACACAAGGCCGTGAGCATGTCCACCTATCTTAGCCATAAAACAGTTCATAGTAAATTTTATTTCGAATAATAAGGTTTGGATAAAGGCAGGTAATGTATGGTTGTATGCAGTCACAAACAGCCCATAGTCTCCAATGTGAATTCCGCTAATCAGTCTTAAAAATGAGTAAAGAGGTTTAGGAGAATACATGGATCGAAATTTTTCCCCTCCAGTCCATGACAGAGGGTGGCTATTCAGACAGGCTGTATGGTCGTGTTATCTGTGGTCGTAAAAAAAAACGTCCCAAAAACCTTTAGTATTAAAAAATAAAATACATTAATAAAATTGCATCGACGCCCACATAATCAATTCGGCACCGTTCATTACGCGACGGCACACGAGGTGGCAAATTGGAAAAGTAATTGAATTTTAAATTACATTCCGATATATTTTATGTAATGAAATATTGCGTGAATATTGATACGATTTCATCTGCCTACGTTTTTATTGGGAATTTATTGATTTATCCGACCTTTATCATGTTTTATGGACGAATTAGAAAATTATTTATTTTCAATTTCAATTACATAAGTTCATTTTTTTCAAAACGATTCGATCAAAGAGACTACAACGACAACATTAACCAATAAAAAAAGAAAAGAATACAACTATATTATTTATATATTTAATTTTTTTTATTCAAATTTATTGTTGCTATCACTGAAGTATGAAACCTATAATAAACCTATAATATATATTAGTCTATGGTTGCTGTTCATCAAATTTAAGAAATACATTTTGACAGCTGTCAGATTAATTCATCAGTAGGGACGGAAACGAATAACATCAATATATCCGATTTAAATGAAGTGTCGATATTGATTGTAGTAAATAATATTGACCTTTTTTTTTTTTAAAAGTACATACATAATATGATTTAATAAAGAAAATGAAAACACTGATTGCAATTTAATGCTCTATAAGATATTTTTAGTCCACGATTCCATCCACGCAGCCGAGGATAGACTTAGCGAAGATTATACTTTAGTTGGATAACCTATCCATCTTAAGCAACGGAACTCCTTTCTCAGATTTATTGAAACTTAGGTTACAATGTCCATGCAAGCCTTATAGCAGACAAACCGTGACCTCGTTCATTTATTATGGGGAACGCAAAAAACTAAAGCATTATCGGCCAGTCGTTTACTGATTATCTATACTAATATATAAACCTACAGTGGTTTTGACGTGATAACTACTGAACCATGCATCCGGTTGACTTGAAGCTTAGTATCCATGTAGAAAATACATGTGCTTAATGGATAGGCTCATATTTAGACTTAGCCAATTTTTTTTTATTGCTTAGATGGGTGGGCGAGCTCACAGCCCACCTGGTGTTAAGTAGTTACTGGAGCCCATAGACATCTAGAACGTAAATGCGCCACCCACCTTGAGATAAGTTCTAAAGTCTCAAGTATAGTTACAACGGCTGCCCCACCCTTCAAACCGAAACGCATTACTGCTTCACGGCAGAAATAGGTAGGGCGGTGGTACCTACCACGCGGACTCACAGAGGTCCTACCACCAACACGAATATGAGTGTTGGACTCCCTAATAATAATGACAATAAATAATAATGTTAAATTTAAATGCCCAGCGAAGCGGGCGAGTACGGCTATCACTTATTAATTCTACTCGCTTTTTTAAAATATAAATTACAGAAAGAGCCCTCAAAAGAAATCGCGAAACAAACAATGATATCATATTTATAGTCATATTGAAATTAATTGCTGCGTTAAATATTTCACACTGCCTGAAATGAGATAATTAGTACTTGAATTTCGATAAAATCGATACCGAAAATGAAATAAAAACCTGCGTTCAATTATTCAGATCGCCTTCGAAAGTGTCTTTATAGCGGATATTCAGAAACTTGGCACATATCCGCAAGAAGTTAATATTTACCGCGGCTTTCGGATATTGATCGGCGGTTTCCTTGACGAGGGTACAATTTCTCTTGATGTGGGATATCTGGAACTTAAAGCATTAGGTCGATTCAAAGGTAAAATGAACTTAGTGTGAGTAAATAAAGCAGCACGTAGTTTTACAAAATCGTATTTTCAACGTGTAGCCGAATCTCGAAATAGATTCAGTCATAAATTTTAGAAGAGATGGAACTATAAATCCAATCTAAAATGGATTCTTTTAGTACTTAGGATGGCCTGTTACCATTAAGATCATGTATACTGAATTTATTTCTCTTCTTATCATTTTATTGCTTGCTTGCTTTTTGTTGTATTCAATTATCATTATACATAAAATAATGTATTTAGCAAAATGCTTCAATTCAGATGTAGTTTCTATCGTAGTACGAAGATTTGAATGTTCTATTTCCGAGCTATCGTTGATGACGTCATCTTGCGACAGATTAACGCAGCCGAATGCACACCGTGTCGTGTGAATATCTGGTACCGACGGATGATGTGTTTATACCGGCGCTGAGGAGCTCAGCAGAGATTAAAGCATAGATTACTCACACTTTAGTTGAGAAGTGTTTAGACATAGCTTAAACACATTACTGGTAGATTAATGGTAAATTTCACGCGTTCGGTAAACTTAATTTTCGGATTTGATTTTTGTGATAATTTGAATTTATGAACAAATTCTATTGACTTAAATTTTATATTGTTCAAAATAATAAATAAGAATAGTAGGTAAATAAATAACTTGGAACAAATCGCCGATTCACTTCCTTGAGATCTCGAGGCCGAGGTCGTGGCTGCAGTATACCGGCGCAGGACACAGTCCCTGAGTCAAGGACGCACGTCCGGCCCGTCGGCTGCGCGTCATCTGCCGTACGCCAAGTGGAGGGAGCGGTTGCTTGAGGAGCTTTGCCAAACTTCAGTTACCCGTCGACGCACCCTCGAGGCACTGGTGACCGTGCTGGAGGCATAGTCAGATCGGCGACACGGCGTGATCTCCTTCCACCTCACGCAGGTCCTCTCGGGGCATAGGTGCTTCAAGAGGTACCTGTGGAAGGTCTGCAATCACATCCGGGTTGTCACCAGCGCGGGCATCCGAACGATGACGCCCAGCACGCACTCGAAGCGTGCCCGCGTTGGTAGCACTCGCGGCGAGAACTCATCGCGGTGCTGTATGTGCACATGTGTCCACCCAATGCTGAGTGTAGGTTTCTTCGAACACACCCCATTCTTTTTGGTCTCGGTCATCGGTCCACCTCATTGTGTCATGTCCACGTTACACCGTCCAGTACGATGTCTCCACTCTAGTATTTTCCTCTCTCTCACATCTCATCTCATCACATCTTAACGCGCCGTTCCACACTCTTTTCGTACGTTACGTTCTTACCAATCCTACATAAATACCTCAATATCGTCAACAGTCCAAATACGAATCCCCAAGTTCTTCGGGCACAGCACTCGTAATGAGGACTCCTTTGAGCGGTTGGTGGTGCAAGGGAAAGTCGAGGGCAAAAGATCTCGCGAACGATCTCCAACACGATGGACCGATCTCATAAAATCTGTGACTCGCTGCAACATAAATGATTGCTCTCACTCTGCGAAACATCGTGCCACATGGTGTCGCATTGCGAAAGCATCGCTATCGCAGGATCTGACTGATGCATGACCACGACCACTCTGTCAAGAGTGTACGACTAGGAAGGAGAAGGTTCATATTAGGATGGCTATGGATCGTGCGCTAGTTTAAGCATCGAATCAATAAAGAAATTATTATGACATTTTACTCGCGCAGCATTCCTACCGGTTTGAACAGCGAGACAGCTGTTTTGTAGAGCAGTTGAGACCTTCATCTCATATCTCAAATTGGACTGAGACCTTCATCTCATATCTCAAATCGGACACGGCGTTGATCGTATGGTTATCATCAGTTCCATAATGCGAACGAGGTGTGTCTTCTGAAAATTTACCCTAATAAAAGAAGACGAGAAGGCGAATGATAATTCTGATTAATCTGCATTCACCAGCAACTTTAAGATACCCAATAAGTCACTGTAGTTTCAGCGAAGAGGTCGACTGAGGCGATTGAATTAGAGTGCACTCTACGTCTCGCCGAACTCCCTCATTGATTCTCACTACTAAATTATAAACTCACATTTACAAGACAAATTGGCATTTGGAACTTTCGCGCGCAAAGTTAGCATTGTAATTTATGTTCATCGCAATTATCTGTTATTTTCTGTTAAAAGACCCGAGTGTAGGTGTGTATTGCTAATGTGTTTACTAGCAGTATCCGAAAGAGAGGAGAAAAGCCTGGCCTAAGACTGTTTCTAGACGGCAGTATCCCTTGTCTCGCGGTGCCGCTTGGGCTGTGATGTTACAACAGCAGGCCGACTGTCAGCTCTTTCAAATATCGATGCAATATATAGATTTATCGTAAATATTTTTTTTTTAAATACGGAATGA